TGGCCAGGAAAGATCCTAAAGAAATCTTTGAGTTTGTCCAGAAGCTGAATCCTGGACTGTCAACCAGAGACTGGAGAGTGGTCAGTTGCAAGCGAGAGGCGGAACACCAAACTCTGGTTCTGGCAATTGACTGCGGGAGTGCCAAGTTCCTGAGGGACAGGGGCTGGAGGATTTTCTTGGGTATAACAAGGGTTCAACTCAAGGTTCTTTCAGGTGCTCCTGATGACGATCCGAATACTGCAGGCGAACCTACAGCACAGTAAAGCTGCCACTGCGGTACTCTGTGCGAGTACTGCGGGTGGGGCTTTTGACTTTGCCCTTATCCAGGAACCCTGGGTTAGAGACGGCAATATAACGGGAATGGGGGTCTCTAGGGGCCAGGTATTCTCGGCTCAGGTCCGGAATCCTAGAACCTGCATTTGGACTAGCAATGACACCATTTGTGTGCCGGTTCTGGAATTTTGTTCCAGAGACATCACAACGGTAGAGACCAAATGCAGGGAGTCCGGACGGCGTCTACTACTTGCTTCAGCATACATGCCGCAAGATGAGCCCACGCAGCCTCCGCAAGAGGAAGTTAGGAAGCTGGTCGAGCACTCGGCCAGGACCGGCGTCGACCTCGTGCTGGGCTGCGACTCCAACTCCCACAACACTGCTTGGGGTTGTAGGGACAATAACGCAAGAGGTAAGGCACTTCTTGAATACTTAGCCTCTAATGGTCTAATGATTGCTAATGTCGGTTCAGAACCAACTTTTCATAGCAGGGTTGGGGAATCTGTAATAGATCTTACTATAACCAACGTGGGGATCAGTAACAGAATTCTGGATTGGAGGGTATCCCAGGAACCTTCCCTCTCTGACCACAGACATATCATGTTCAACATTGGTAACTTTTCCTTGGAAAAGATTGAGTTCAGGAATCCCAGAAAGGCAGATTGGGATATGTACAGATCAACTCTTAAAGAGCGCATTGAATGCTTTGACACACAGTTCCCTTGGGTCAGAGACACCAACACGCTAGACCTTGCCTCTGGGAGCTTAGGCGAGGCCATTGTCACGTCCTTTGACGAGAGCTGCCCGCTAACGGTGAGGAAGCAGGGTAAAGTGAGTTGGTGGACCACAGAGCTTACCAGCCTGAAAAAGAGAGTCAGGTCTCAGTTCAGGTGGGCGAAGAGGACAAATAATTGGGATGGCTATCATAGATTGCTAACCCAATATAACATGGCTGTAAGGAGGGCCAAAAGGCTCTCCTGGAAACATTTCTGTAGCAAGCTAGAAAGTGTTAGAGATACATCTAGGATATACACTGTCCTAACAAAGGACAGCTCCTCCAAGCTAGGCCCCCTCAAGGAGCCTGGGGGAGATATGCTGTATGAACCTAAGGAAGTGCTAAAGCTCATGGCGGCCACCCACTTCCCTGGCTGCATCATCCCAAGCGAGCCATTGGTGCCGGAGGATGAGGAACAAGCTGTCGCAAGGGCAAACAACACTCGGTGGAGGGTTGCGTGCCACATTGTGACACATAGTCGTGTGAGATGGGCCATAGGGTCACTCATCCCATACAAATCACCTGGACCTGACGAGGTAAGACCTGTCTGTCTCCAGCAAGGTATCGATATATTACTTCCGGCAATGAGTAAGTTGTTCAGGGCCAGCTTGGCCCTGGGACACATTCCCCCGGCCTGGAGCATCTCAAGGGTGGTTTTCATCCCAAAACCTGGTAAGGCAAGTTACACGGATCCCAAGTCCTTCCGTCCCATCTCTCTGTCCTCATTCCTGTTGAAGACCTTAGAGAAACTGGTGCTGAGGTATGTGGGGGACACAGTCCTCAGAGTCAATCCCCTACATAGAAACCAGCACGCCTATACCCCAGGAAGATCCTGTGACTCTGCCCTACATCACCTGGTAAGCAGAATCGACAAGGCGTTTGAGTTCAAGGAGATTGCCCTTGGGGCGTTCCTTGACATCCAGGGCGCCTTTGACAACACTGAAACCCAGGCTGTAATCAATGCTGCCAGAGCTCGTGGATTCCATGAGGTGGTGTGCAGGTGGGTAGAGTCTCTACTTAAGAGGAGGAAGGTAAGACTCTCTCTTCACAATGAGGTTCTGGAGGCCAGGACCACACGAGGGTGTCCACAGGGGGGTGTACTCTCTCCTCTTCTCTGGAACCTTGTTGTGGACGACTTAATTAGATCTCTCAGTGATAGTGGTGTATTCGTTCAAGGATACGCGGACGACATTGTGATACTAGTTATGGGTAAATTCAACAACACGGTCTCCGACCTCATGAACACAGCCTTGAGGTCAGTTGGACAATGGTGCACTGAGGTAGGCCTTTCTATCAACCCCTCCAAAGTGGCGGTTATCCCCTTCACGAGGAGGCGCGATCTAAATGGCATTGGACCTCTGAGACTACAAGACACAGTGCTTGAAATGCAGAATCAGGTAAAGTACCTGGGGGTGGTATTGGACCGAAAGCTGCAATGGGGGCCACAACTCCAAAAGGTCATTGATCGAGGTAAGTGGTCACTCATGGCCTGCAGACGCATGGTGGGAGGAACCTGGGGGCTCAAGCCGGCGCTCATGCACTGGCTATTTGTCTCCGTGGTAAGGCCCGCCATGACATACGGCTCACTCGTGTGGTGGCCCAAGATGGACTCAGTGTCGGCGGTGAGAGATCTGGCTGCCGTCCAAAGACTCGCCTGTCTCATCATCACGGGCGCAATGAGCAGCTGTCCGGGAGCCTCACTGGACTGCCTTCTCAACCTCACTCCGATTGACCTGCATGTCAAGGTCACTGCGAGGAGGACTGCCTACAGACTCCAGTGTGAAAACCTTTGGTTGGATGTTGGAGGATCCCGAGGTCACTCTCGGATCACTCAGCAGGTAAGAGGGGAGGTAATGGACATGCCCTCGGATCACATGCCGACTCGATTCTTCTTCGCCAGACCATTCACTGTCCTCCTTCCGTCCAGGGATGAGTGGATGTCCGGTGGGAATCCTCTTCCACAAGGCGACCTTGAATGGTATACTGATGGTTCTAAGGTAAGAAGTGGGACTGGGGCTGGAATTCATGGAGTGCAGAACGGGGTGGACATTTGTCTTCCTATGGGCACTCACCCAACTGTGTTCCAGGCCGAAATGACTGCGATTATGGTATGTGCTAGGGAAAACCTGAGGCTAGGCTTCAGGGACATTAACATTTCCATTTTCACAGACAGCCAGGCTGCGCTCAAAGCGCTTGATTCCTATGAATTTAATTCTAAGGTGGTCTGGGACTGCCTTTCTGCGGTATGTGACCTGGGCAGGCGCAACAAGGTAACGCTCTGTTGGGTTCCTGGGCACTCAGGGATAGAAGGGAATGAGGTGGCTGACAGGCTAGCAAATGTCGCGTCAGCCTCAGACTTCGTGGGACCACAGCCTTTCTGTGGAATCTCTCGTGGGCATGCATGTCACTCAGTCATGGCATGGGCTCAGGAGGAACACAGGAAAAGATGGGTTAGGCTTCAGCACCATAGGGTAAGTAAGCTCACCCTCTTCTCTCCTTCCCAGACGGTCGCCTCCAATGCCCTACGCTTGGACAGGAGGCGACTCAGACAGATCACAGGAATGGTCACTGGACATGGCTTTCTGAAATTACACCTGCATCGCTTGAGGATCCACAATGGTGACACTGCGTGTAGGAAATGTGGGCAATCAGAGGAGACTGCTGATCACCTACTCTACGACTGCACAGCTCTGAATGAGGTAAGGGACAGTACTCTTGGTGTAATGACAAGGGGCAGACACCTTCCTCAGGAGGAGCTCATTGACAGGATGCTTGAGTTCATTAAGCAACTCAGGTTTGACGGACTCTGAAGTACCATGTGGGGAGCGCAAAAAGCCCATCAGTGGCTGACGTGCAATAGGACAAGGTCCGCCCCTACAGAATCAATCAATCAATCAATCAAGCACAGTTTCAATCGTAGAGTAGCCTAAGTTAAAGAATTTAGAGATGTAAACTTAATGTAACGCATGAAAAATGCTTTTATTAATAACAAGTTTAAATCAAGGCAATTAAGTAAATAATATTACTAAAAACACATCACTAAACAAAATTCAAGCTCTTGACTTGAATTGAATTGAAGTTTCTGTCTGACGGCTCGACGGCTGGGGCTGACGACGGTTGATTTCGCTAGTCAAATGAACAACTAAAAGTGAAAAAAACCATGTCAAATAACTAACTTTATCGAGTTAAGTTAAATCGAAAAGGTTACCGAAATTTATTTGAATATAGTTTATTAAGAACTACACACAATAATAAGTCTGTGGTACAAGAATCAGATTTTTTAAATCTGTAATAAAGAAGCCTTTCTTTAACAAAAAAACGCATACAATTTCTCTAAGTCGAGTATGAGTCCTCAACTTCGTTTCGTCCAATTATTAGTAAATCAGCTGATCGCCCAATGCAAATCAAATGGAAATTACAAGTTACAAGTTGTAACTTGTAACTTGTAGTTTATTATGAAATGGGCCCCTGGTTTTAAGAAATTCTGAATTGGCTCACCAGTTGGTACTGAAAACAAAGTTCCCCTCTGGTTTAAATTTAAGATAGTAAAAAAGTGATTCAACTCAGCTGAATTTTTAATTTTATTATTTTCTTTGATCTGTACTCAATCATATGTTCTCAAAATTCAACTATTTGTAAACACTTCATATTTATTTGTTTTGTTCATCTTTACATTTTTCATTCTCTTTGCTTGAAAACGTTTGTATTAAACGAAAATTTGCAATGTGTCATGTTTCATTCATCATAAACTCTATCAAGATCTCCTCAAGAATATAGATATATATATATACATATATAAAAATTTGAACGAATGGTGTTTTTGGCCTCTGGGGACATCAAAATGAAAAAGTAAATCGGTCCCGGGCCTAGGTCTTACCATGAGACCTACGGTAATAGCTACTTCCCTATAGGGAAATTCGCTAAAATGTAAAAAGTTTTTTACGACACTCACCAACGTGTTGGGCATTCCCTGCAAGACAGCTCGCGCCCTGTCTTTGCCACAGCGGACGACATACTCAAGGAAACGGAACACAAAATGGGTCTGTTGTGAAACGTGAGCTGTTCGTTCTGCGATCACAGACAACGCCTTGAACACTTCACGCAGAGCTGACGCTAGAGGTTCCTACGGACAGTAAATAACATGAGTTTTATAATAAACTCCAGTAGAATTTGACTGTTCCAAAGTAACACATGACTGAGTACAACTATTTAGATTAGCAGAAAATGTTTAATGGGCAGATTTTGTTGTAACAGTGTAATAACAACAAGACCATTGTTTCGAGTGTAATTTACAAATAAATATCCTAATTTTATGTTTGAAACCTTAATTAAATGTTAATGCAAACATTGATACGAAGTCAATCTTTGTAAGTGACAAGCGCTGGGACTTGTATTTGTTTTTGTTAGCTGGTTCCTGTTGTTTAACAAAGACTCAATAACAAGAAATGAAATAATTATAGGGAATAGTCAGACTCAAATTTCGCCACCAAAATGAGCTTCGCCCAGCCGCTGCTAGGATGTGCTTGTGCAGCGGCCGCATCTCTATCTCTCTCTCTCTATGCCGATTCTTTGTCTCACTCAGTCAGTTGACTTGGTCGCACACTAGCGATAGTAGCGCCTTCACTACCTATGGCCGCCGAGGGAACTATCCAAAATTCATATATTCCCAGGATGATTTCTTAACATAGGCATTGCACTTTTTATAACTAAAGAAAGAGCTAAATAATCCAATTATTCTAAATTGCAACCATTTTATTTTTTAGTGTGTATATGTACTGTCAACTATTTTTATCAGTAAGCCTGCTGTCCATTCTATCCACCACACAATCCTTAGAATCTGGTATATTTCCATCATTAATGTAAAAACTAAGGGTACACTACACTAGATTTATAAGATTCAGACACACCAAGCAACGTATTTGAAGGTAAATATTTGTAAAATTTGCTTAAAAAATAATTAGTCTTTACTTTTGTAAGGTACCAAATTTTAAGGGGGGTAAAAACGTACTACGAATAAATGAACACCAGAACTTACCCGATTACCGTTTCCTAATTCGATTTTCAATAACTACATTTTAATAACTTAGTTTCCGCTAACTCGAGTCTCGACCCGCCAGTTCCTGCTTGCCAGTGACTAGCGGTGATTATCGTTTGGTTTGATTTAAACCAATTAGTTTCAAAATTACGATTTCTACGAATGATTATTACGTACGTTTATTCTAATTAGTTCGTCGTTTTAATGCCCCGAGACTAGTCGTCTGCGTTCTAAACCCCGTCTTTGGCGGGCGAGAGAACCTAGTCTTGGGAGTAGGCTGATTTGAACAATCAAACAGTCACGAATATTAATATTAAATCTATTTTAAACGTATCACGATAAATTCTCCGTCCAATTATATTAATTAGGCCCCGACGACTCGGTAGGAATTATTTTTACCTTATATTCGATTTTATATTATTTACCAACGACTTTAGCCAGATAGTTTACAGTTTAATACGAGTATTTACATCACATTGGCTAGGATTGAATGCTCGTCGGCCCTACAGAGTCATTCCAAAAGTTAGGCAAAATTCTCCAAAACATTTTTACGAAGGCTGGGATGATATAACTCCAACTGAGCGTCTGCAGGATTTCCTGAGCGCTTTTAGAGCTCTGAGCCTTCGATTAAATTTTAATAAATTGATCAGTCAAAGCCGTGACAACTTCGTATCGACCCCTGGATTTTTCTCGGCTCCTTCTGAGCACTCCGGGGAAGAAATTTGAGTGTGGCCGGTTCTAGGGGTAGGCCTAGCCTGACTTAGGTGAATACTAGTTTATTCCCCCCCTAGAATTTTGCGTCACACTTTTTAAAAGATTTGTGTATAGTGGGTGAGATAATAGTTTTGTTAATAGCTAAAATAGCTTTTTTGTATCCAGGACCATTTTAAATACCCATTAAACAAGGATAGAGTTTTAACCATGAAAAAGCGGTTGAATGTTCTCAGGATGGATCTGGCGATTTTATGGTTTGTAGGCAAACCCAACACCCAGCTATCCATTTAAAAATTGTACACAATTTTGAACTGGAGTTGCTTATAAATTTGGATTCATGCGGCACCTGTTAGTGAATGCAGCTTTTTTTACCTGCAGTGGAGGGGAGGATGTCTCGCTAGTACCACAGGAGAGAAACATTAGAGATGAATCTAGTCTGAGGATCTTACTTGCCGGACACAACTCGTCCAGGTCCTATAACAGGTAACAGTACACTAAATACAAGCTCCTCAATCCCCTTAAACTTATGATTTTCTTCATCACGTTGGTTGCTTAATCAAGTGTAAACATATTTATCTTTGTCAAAATTATTTAAAATCACTGACTTTGAAGATTGAACCAGACATGCAGGAAACATCTGGGTGTAGAAATGCTGAGTAACAGCTTCCGTTACCTTTAAAGTAACAATTAAGAAGTGTAACGCTAATTTAGTGTCCCTCTAGCTGACTTAATTTATTATTTGGGTCAATTGAAAATGGATTATTTTATTTCATTTTCATAATAAACAAAGAAATATGAATAGCCTATATTTTTTATGAAATAAAACTCAAATTACTATCTTCACCTGGCCTATGAATATCAGCAACAGGTAACACAATGGGCGAAACAGTTACAATAAGAAAATGCCAGCACAGCATTTCTGCAAACAGATGATTGTGCAATCTCAGCCAAGTGGAATGGTGAGGTGATTTATTACTAACAAAGAACATAGTTGAATAAGGCACTCAGTGCGCTACAGTATAAAATTCTATTTCTGCTCCAAGTGTTTGTTACTGTGATAATTGATGTGAAAGAAAATATACTATGTTTATTTTCAGTTTATAGCTTGGTTGAAAAGTCGGTGTACTAGACCGCTGATGATATTTATAATAATTTTCTTAGAGAGCTCCTGTTAAAATTTGATCAATCTTTCCCATTAAAATCTGTTAAAATAAATTCTAGTAATTCAAGTAAGTGTAATAAAATGTGGATAACACCTGGCTTAAAAATATCTGCAAAAAAGAAAAGACTATTACATATGTTGGCTAAAAAAAGTGGTAACATTGATTTTAAGAATTACTAGCTGTGTACCCGTTCTACGCACGGGGATCTTATAATATTCAGTTGAAACCTTCTTATATAACGAACAGCAGTTGGTTTGCATATTTTAAGATATGCTGGCCAAACTATTATACATAGCTTCATTTTATGTTGTTTTTTGTTGTTCCGGATCGGTATGACAATCAATAAAAGGTTAAATTACCTCTGTGTCTGCCGGTCGATCCTATAACGGTAGGCTTACTTTTATTTTTACTATCTGATCTCGTTTGCATGGCTCAATCACGTCCTGGTTGAAGTTCGTTCGCTACGCTCACTCACCTGTATGTTGGAGCTCGTTCGCTGCGCTCACTTTCCTTCAGGTTAGCTCGTTCGCTACGCTCACTTGCCTTCAGGTTAGCTCGTTCGCTACGCTCACTCGCCTCCAGGTTGCAAATTAGCTGTTGTCATAAATGTAAAAGAAATAATAGTGCTAGTGCTGCACCCTGTTGGTAATCCTTGTAACTTTAATGCTATTGAACATCACAGAACAGAACCAACTTGTTTAATTGAAACAGCTGTTAAGATTCAATAATTTCATTTCTCATAAGGTTAACATGGGCTTCCAGAAATTCCACGTCAAAAATCGACAAAAACTTGATTTTCAAGGGTTTACTGTTAAATATCTAACTGTCTCATATTCGATGAAATACGTCTAAAACCATCTCATATATGTATAGTATTTGGAAAATAAGTTTCAGGCGGGACAGTGCTATAGTTATTGAGGAGTAGTTGTAATAAAGTGCGTATTTTAGCGTTACCAAGAGAATGACAGATAGACAGACAGACAGACAGACAGACAGACAGACAGAAATTGAGATAAGGTTTGATTCGGTTTCTCTGACCTATGAAATGTAAAAATAACCAAAAAGTTCATTATTCTAAGCAATGTACAGACAAAACTCTAATTTTATTTATATAGATGTTAAGAGATACAAAACCACTTTTAACAAGGTTGTCAAAGCAGCTAAGCGGCAGGCCAACAGCAATTTCATTAAAGTGTCTGACAATAAGGTAAAGGCTACTTGGTCTGTAGCAAGGAGACAGCTAGGTTTAGAGAGTAACAATCAAACTTGTATAGAGCTAGAAATTGGTAATACCAGGATTGATGACCCTAGGGAAGTGTCACAATATTTCAATAACCATTTTAAAAACATTGTAAATGAATTGAATATTCCGAAGATAAATGTAATAGAAACCATGAAAGAATATCCATCTTATAACTATTCAGATTTTTATATTGAGAATTTTTCTGATGATTACATTAGCAAAATAATAAAAGGTCTGAAAAATAAACCTTCTACAGGCTGGGATGGAATACCTGTCCAGTTATTGAAGCAAAATTCATTAATACTGGCACCGGCATTGAGTAACATCATAAAAGCATCCATTAGCAGTGGTGTTTTCCCAGAAAAACTTAAATATGGTAATGTCATTCCAGTTTTTAAGAAGGGATCAAAAGTAAACATAAATAATTATCGACCAATCACATTACTCTCAAACATATCAAAAATTTTTGAAAAGGTTATGTGTGATAACCTAAGTAGATTTCTTGAAAATAATTCTTTCTTTCACAATTTGGCTTCAGAAAAAACATGAACACTCAAACAGCTCTATCTAATTTTGTTAACAAAACCATGTTGGCCTTGGATGAATCGCAGTATGCAGCTGGTGTTTTCTGTGATTTGTCTAAGGCATTTGACTGTGTCAATCATGAACTTCTAATTCACAAACTTAGTAAAATTGGAATAACAGGTAACATTCTTAAATGGTTTAGATCATATTTGGCAAACCGTAAACAAAGAACTCTCATCATAAAAAAGGGAATAAAGTACTATTCAGACTGGATAAATTTAGAATGTGGAATTCCTCAAGGCTCAATTCTGGGGCCTTTATTATTCATCATCTATATCAATGACTTGCCCCAAAAAATTCTTTCAGAATTAATACTTTTTGCAGATGATACCACTGCTTTTGTGAAAGGCAACTCAATGTCGGAAGTGCAAATTTCAGTTAACAAAACTTTGGAAGATCTCCGTGAATGGTTTACAGCTAATGGCCTGGCACTAAACAGTGATAAAACAAACGTCTTATTTTTTCAAAAGTCAAACATGACAGATATTTCACAACAAAAATTTCTCGGAGTGTTCATTGACCAAAAACTAAATTGGAAGGAACATATTGATTATTTGTTAAAAAAATTAAGATCATTCTTTTTTGCTTTTTCAGTTCTTTCTCAGTGTGCATCAAAAAATGTTATCAGAATAGTTTATTTTTCCCATGTAGAATCGATTTTGAGGTATGGCATTACCTTATGGGGAAATTCAAAAAATAGTAAAAAGATATTTTCAATGCAAAAAAGATTCATTAGAAATATGGCAAACGCTAAATTTAGGGCTTCCTGTAAAAAACATTTCAAAAATCAGTCCATATTAACTTTCCCCAGCCTGTTCATTTATGAAAGCCTTAATTATGTCCATGAAAATAAAAAAGATTTTGAAAAGTTCTTAATAAAAAATAAATACAACACTAGGAACAAGAACCTTTACAGTTACCCAATCCATCGGACAACAAAATTTGAAAAATGTCCTTTTTATACAGGCCTGAAGCTGTACAACCATTTGCCGAATAAATTTAAACAATTGGCAGTAAATGTTTTTAAAGTTAAAATTAAAGAAATTCTACTGGATAAGGTTTATTATTCCATCTCAGACTTTTTAGCAGACACCTCCTTGGGATAGTCATTGTACATTTTTATTGTTATTGTAATCTTCTATGTTTTATGTAAAATGTTTTTTCCATTGTATTTTATTATTAAGATTTATGTAATTGACAAGACACCAGTTACTGCTATAAGCACCCAATGTAACGTTATTTGTGTCAATAAATTGATTTGATTTGATTTGATTAGACAGAAATCAGTAATTGACAGCATTCGGTGGGTACATGGATTATCTGCTCAATGGATTCATTCATTCACTGGACAAAACAAACCTCAGTTTCCATGTGAGCACGTGAGCGCTTGCGAGAGTTAGAGGTGTCCGATCCACTGAAGATAGATGTGGCGAATATGCAATAGGCACACAGCTTGGCCAGTGAAGATGATTGAGGTTCTACTAACTCTTCACTTCTGCAAAACAGGACAGTAACATTGGTCAACAGAGAATGAAACATCGTGGTCACTGACTATACTCTGTTCACAAGATTTATGCGGTTTTATGGGAGGAAATCTATCCTCTCCACTTGTTCCTACCTTTAAAAAAATAGCTCATCAGCTGAGGTTTTTCAAGACGTCTATCAGCTGCAACATACATTCACCAAAAAATACTGGTGGGGGTTCTTTCCCTCGAACCGCCTAAATTTTATAAAGGGACTATTTCCCTTGGCCTGACATGGGTGTCTAGAGGAGAAAAGTTAGAGGAATATAAAAAGGTTAACTTATGTCAAATCACATTTGCAGTGAGATTACTGATGAAAGCTAATAACATTGTTCGAAGCAAGCTAAAAAACATTAAGGTGTGATCATAGTACATAAGTTTCAAAGATTTCAATCAATGCCAAATTGAAAGATAATAATAATAATAATACATTTTGTATCACTAGCTAAAAGATGATAAAGCAGTCCATTCATAGTGTGACACGACATGAAAGATGAAAGACATTGCAAATGAAAGAAAATTTTTTAACACCAGCTAAAATATTAACTGTTTGTTACATAGGGCAGAAGTATGGTAGATGGAATCAGAATGCTCTGGAAAGGGAATGGAGCAGAATAAAGGTTGAAGAAAAGAGATATATTTAAGGAATATTAAGAGAAAAACAAGGTTGGAGACAGTTTGGTAAAAAGAAAACAGATGGGAATTGAATACTGATTAAAAGGGAGAACAAAGAATATAACAAAAATACCAAGCTTGAAACAAGAGAGAAGAGAGAATTCATAGAATAATTAAGTTAATAGTGATCTAACATACAAAAAACCGTTAAACGTGATTGTGCAGACAGAAAGAAAGGAGAGCCTAGAAGTGGATCGATGATGTAGTATAGAGGAATTATGGAGGAGTGTGAGAAGATGGGAGAGACCTAATAAATAACTAAATCGGAAAAGAGGCAAGGTGTGTATCTATCACCTAATTTACCTATTACTTTTATTTTTGCTCTATAAATGTTACAATATAAAGGTAACAACAACACTTTATACTACTGCATGGAAAAACAGTTTGTGGCCTCAAGTGAACTTACTGCGGCCTGTTGTGCAGATATTGAGGAAGCACCTGTTGCAGAAGACACAATGTGCAACTCTCAATGTCCAGATGGAAGAGGCCCATGAGAAGATCCACGGCTCGGTCCAACTCGTCTTTGTACCTCAACTTCATCATTTCCTGCATCCAACCACACATTGTTAAGTTACTGTCAAGTTATTTTTCAATACATCAAAACTTAACTAGCCCAACATTTATAATTGACCCAAACCTAAGGGTTGAAAAACAAATACAGTAGACTCCCTCTTATCTGGACTTCTCGGGACCGAGGCCAGTCCGGATAATGGTTTTTTCCGGTTGAACTGACGCCAAAAACTCGTTCAAACGGACCGTTTAAATGTTTACTGTATAAGCCACTTGAAAACTAACCCAAATATTTTACGTAAATTTAGGATAGTATTGTATTTAGACATGTGATCACTGGTCTCAAATCTTTCCCACGAGAACAGTTGTTTCTATACTACCCACTTCCTGCCGATCTATTCCGGTTAAAATCCTGCCGATCTATTTAAAACCGATGTGCTGATAAAAATTGTCCGGTTAAAGAGGTGTAATTTCCGCTGAGTGTAGTCGGGTTAAACTGATGTCCCGTTAAAAGGCGTCTGGATAAGGGGGAGTCTACTGTAATGACCTAGAAAGAAACCCCCTTTTGGATGCATTTGGAGAAGTTGGGCAAAGTTCAAGATCACTCAGGAGAGGTTGTGCATCACAGTAACAACTGAAAACACAGTTGTTTTGTTTATTAGTCTTTATTTCTGCTTTACACACAATAAATAACGGTTATAATTAGATAGCATCAATAATTATTTGTTATATTCAATAATCTAGCATAGTTTTGAATTTAAGATGTACATTAATATTTTGTGTAACTTATATAAATTTACTTTAAAACTAATTAGCCTAGTTTAGTAACCTAAAGGTAGTTTTGACTGAGATAATAATAGACTGGACTCAATGACCTGGAAACAAATTGATTGATTATTCGACTCAAGGAAGCAACAGACACTGATAGTTGATGCTGTAATTATTTTGTTTCTACCTTTTTGACTTTTCTTAATAAAATAATAAAATAAATCCAATTAGAGTAATTTCTAATAAGCATTGCTGAAGTCCCAAGGAAGCTGAAAACTAGTGAGTGTTTAATGTGGTCTGTTATTATCTGATATTTAGTACTTTAGTACTCCAAGGAGTTTACCTAGATCTGTTTAAATAATTTCTCTTCCAGAAACAGTTTATTATTCTTGTATTTAGTGTGTTTTACGTTGTTTAAATTTTTTTATATTTTTTTTTGGAGAGGAACGGCCTCTAACTCCTTGTCTTCTAAATTTAGAACAGACTTTTTGTTAGATAGCCCAAAGACAAAAAAACCTGGGTCAAAAATTGACATTGCTTTTGATTAAACCATCAATTTTCAGATTTGAATTGCTTAAAAAGTTTGCAAAAATAATTTTTCAATCGATAAGAATTAGTTAATCTACAAAGTAATCATATTCAATCTGGTAGTGGTAAGTACTACTTAAAATTATGTCAAGTGCAAATACATATGGTCAGTCATCAAGAAATCGTTTAGCTTCCCAAAATTAAGTGTGAAAGTGACTGCTTCAATCTGTAGCACATCCTCAAACAATTGAAGGATTGAAACCACTTTAAAGGGTTTGAAAATGCTCTTAACAAATTGCCTCTGGCACAGATACAGACTTAATCACTATACAGCCAACATCGGATCAGACCTTTACGAGGTTGGTGACGAACCACTGAGGCCCACCAGTGTTGTACAGACTCTCTAGAGTGTGAGTGGCTTCAATTCCGACCCAACCTTGCCTCAGCACGGTCAGCCAGACTGACTCTAGCTGCTCCGACACCGGCTGCTTGGAGATGATACTGTAATCATATGATATTCATCACTGTAATCAGATCATATTCATCAACAACTGACTTAAGACGACAAATGTGTGGTCTAGGAATGCTATGATGTGTGTCCGAAATTTTTCCATGTTACTATGACCACAGAGAAGTGAGATACAGAGGAAACTCGCTTATCGGACGTGCACTTTCAGCTCTAGTATGTTGTGTCGGAAATATACTTGTGACGAGCAAGGAAGAACTTGTGTGGCGAGAACTGTATGGAAATTCATATCGCACAGGGTCTTTCTCCACCAAGAGTGTGAGTGCATGAGGGTGAGGGGGTTTTGGACTTTGCCCTAGACACCAGAGATTAGTGCTAGACACCCCTTGAGTGCACCATAGAATGTTTCTTCTATACCTTACTTCTCTGTGCCGTGAGACGAACAAATCCTAACCTTTATGTTAATTTTTTAGAGATTGAGGATAAACTATACTAAACACTTTACTAGTTCACAGTACTATTACATATTTTAGCTAAAGCCATAATATAGCTAAGGCCAATTTCATATTTAAATGTATTTTTTTTTTGGAAAGGGAGGGTTATGAGTTAGTTGAAAATTAGAGACCAGGAGCGACAAAAGATAACACTGATAATTTATCCTGCTGTAGGATTTTTACAGAAATAGATTGATATGAAATGTTGACATAAGTAGGTTGGGGTGTTAAAGAAAGGCAATCTTGAGTAGGTTTTACAATTTAAAAAACTAGAGAAACTTGATGATTTTAAATTTATTTTTTAATGGGTTTTATTATTTTCTGTTTTATCCAAAATTAGAGCTGCCAGTTTAAGTTAAATAAACAACACTACACGAGCGGCCCCCGCCCGAGGTGGAACTTCCCCGCAATACGGCAAAATCGTGAACATTTCCCGAGATCATGGGAACATCACTATTGTCACCCGCTATCATGGTGAATTATTTAATTTTTCTTCTAAAACATTGTTTATGTACAGTAAGCTGTGTCCCCCTTTGCTTGAGGGCTAGTGGTAAATCCGGTATTGCTCTTAAGTACTAATCTCTATAACATACAAATCATAAAATAACGTACCTGTGAGATAGCCCCATTGCTTTAATCTTAGACAGGGTCGGTGTGTGGACATCAAACTGCATTTTCCGTATGATTTGAACCATCAGAGCAGCCCTGTAAAATAAACCTTACATATAGAACGCTATCTCTCATAAGACACATTTAATATGACATTAAACTGCTTAAACAAATCAAAGATGTAGGTAAATATTCCCAACTTTCTGGAACTAAGACAAACAAAATTATATTGTTTGAGTGTTTTTAAATTATTTGTTGTAACCCCACTCTACCTTTCATTGTAGTTATTTTGCTTGGTATGTTCCTCGTTTGTGAGAACCTTAAGAAACTGCTGAACCATGTTGATCGGTTTCAAAAGAGCGTCTTGGGGGGAAACCTTGAACAGAAGAAATGGATTACTATAACAAAGCTATAACTAATGATATAAAGTACTCTACTTCTATGACAAAATTGTTTTTTAATCACAATAAACGCTCTCTTAACATGCCCGCACAGGACCAGGTCTAAGTCAGATAACCTATAGTAATCTGAAAAAGATATCAAAGTAAACATAAAATATGATGGCTATCCAGAAAATAACAAACTTTTTGCATCACAGTCACAGCAGACTTCACTCATCACTCCTTTTCCGTAAACATCACAAATCAGGCAATAAATTAAAAATGGCTTGTGATTAAAAAAAAAAAAATGATCAAAGAGCACATCTCACAACTGCCGGGCCAGTGCTCACTTTAACACTCCACTGCAGACATAGTAAGAGAGATATGATGTGTACTGAGTGTAGGAACATTCTGAAGCTAAGACAGCAGATATAGCTCCGCTCCATCTGTGTCTACCCTGTTGTGATATACGGTTAAGCAGTTATTTAGAAATGTGAGACTATTGTAAAAAAAAACCAAACATTTTGAATTTGTTAACCTTAAAATACTGACCTGCATATAGCTACAAAGCCACGTGGCAGCACAAACAGGCAGACAACACATGGGTGCCTGCATGGTGTCCAGTATCCTTTTGACATCAGTCACTGATAGAGCATCCTGCTCCCAGGCCACCAGCACTTCTCTGATGGCTCCTGGCATGTTGAAACACACCTGGTGCCATGTCATGCCACTAAAACACAACACAGACTATCAGACAACACATGGGTGCCTGCATGGTGTCCAGTATCCTTTTGACATCAGTCACTGATAGAGCATCCTGCTCCCAGGCCACCAGCACTTCTCTGATGGCTCCTGGCATGTTGAAACACACCTGGTGCCACGTCATGCCACTGAAACACAACATAGACTATCAGACAACACATGGGTGCCTGCATGGTGTCCAGTATCCTTTTGACATCAGTCACTGATAGAGCATCCTGCTCCTAGGCCACCAGCACTTCTCTGATGGCTCCTGGCATTTTGAAACACACCTGGTGCCCAACATGCCACTGAAACACAACACAGACTATCAGACAACACATGGGTGCCTGCATGGTGTCCAGTATCCTTTTGACATCAGTCACTGACAAGAGCATCCTGCTTCCAGGCCACCAGCACTTCTCTGATGGCTCCTGGCATGTTGAAACACACCTGGTGCCACGTCATGCCACTGAAACACAACATAGACTATCAGACAACACATGGGTGCCTGCATGGTGTCCAGTATCCTTTTGACATCAGTCACTGATAGAGCATCCTGCTCCTAGGCCACCAGCACTTCTCTGATGGCTCCTGGCATTTTGAAACACACCTGGTGCCCAACATGCCACTGAAACACAACACAGACTATCAGACAACACATGGGTGCCTGCATGGTGTCCAGTATCCTTTTGACATCAGTCACTGATAGAGCATCCTGCTCCCAGGCCACCAGCACTTCTCTGATGGCTCCTGGCATGTTGAAACACACCTGGTGCCATGTCATGCCACTAAAACACAACACAGACTATCAGACAACACATGGGTGCCTGCATGGTGTCCAGTATCCTTTTGACATCAGTCACTGATAGAGCATCCTGCTCCCAGGCCACCAGCACTTCTCTGATGGCTCCTGGCATGTTGAAACACACCTGGTGCCACGTCATGCCACTGAAACACAAGTATAGACTATCAGACAACACATGGGTGCCTGCATGGTGTCCAGTATCCTTTTGACATCAGTCACTGATAGAGCATCCTGCTCCTAGGCCACCAGCACTTCTCTGATGGCTCCTGGCATTTTGAAACACACCTGGTGCCCAACATGCCACTGAAACACAACACAGACTATCAGACAACACATGGGTGCCTGCATGGTGTCCAGTATCCTTTTGACATCAGTCACTGACAAGAGCATCCTGCTTCCAGGCCACCAGCACTTCTCTGATGGCTCCTGGCATGTTGAAACACACCTGGTGCCACGTCATGCCACTGAAACACAACATAGACTATCAGACAACACATGGGTGCCTGCATGGTGTCCAGTATCGTTTTGACATCAGTCACTGATAGAGCATCCTGCTCCTAGGCCACCAGCACTTCTCTGATGGCTCCTGGCATTTTGAAACACACCTGGTGCCCAACATGCCACTGAAACACAACACAGACTATCAGACAACACATGGGTGCCTGCATGGTGTCCAGTATCCTTTTGACATCAGTCACTGATAGAGCATCCTGCTCCCAGGCCACCAGCACTTCTCTGATGGCTCCTGGCATGTTGAAACACACCTGGTGCCACGTCATGCCACTGAAACACAACACAGACTATCAGACAACACATGGGTGCCTGCATGGTGTCCAGTATCGTTTTGACATCAGTCACTGATAGAGCATCCTGCTCCCAGGCCACCAGCACTTCTCTGATGGCTCCTGGCATGTTGAAACACACCTGGTGCCACGTCAAGCCACTGAAACACAACACAGACTATCAGACAACACATGGGTGCCTGCACAGTGTCCAGTATCCTTTTGACATCAGTCACTGACAAGAGCATCCTGCTTCCAGGCCACCAGCACTTCTCTGATGGCTCCTGGCATGTTGAAACACACCTGGTGCCACGTCATGCCACTGAAACACAACACAGACTATCAGACAACACATGGGTGCCTGCATGGTGTCCAGTATCCTTTTGACATCAGTCACTGATAGAGCATCCTGCTCCCAGGCCACCAGCACTTCTTTGATGGCTCCTGGCATGTTGAAACACACCTGATGCCATGTCATGCCACTAAAACACATCACAGACTATCAGACAACACATGGGTGCCTGCATGGTGTCCAGTATCGTTTTGACATCAGTCACTGATAGAGCATCCTGCTCCCAGGCCACCAGCACTTCTCTGATGGCTCCTGGCATGTTGAAACACACCTGGTGCCACGTCAAGCCACTGAAACACAACACAGACTATCAGACAACACATGGGTGCCTGCACAGTGTCCAGTATCCTTTTGACATCAGTCACTGACAAGAGCATCCTGCTTCCAGGCCACCAGCACTTCTTTGATGGCTCCTGGCATGTTGAAACACACCTGATGCCATGTCATGCCACTAAAACACATCACAGACTATCAGACAACACATGGGTGCCTGCATGGTGTCCAGTATCCTTTTGACATCAGTCATTGATAGAGCATCCTGCTCCTAGGCCACCAGCACTTCTCTGATGGCTCCTGGCATTTTGAAACACACCTGGTGCCCAACATGCCACTGAAACACAACACAGACTATCAGACAACACATGGGTGCCTGCATGGTGTCCAGTATCCTTTTGACATCAGTCACTGATAGAGCATCCTGCTCCCAGGCCACCAGCACTTCTTTGATGGCTCCTGGCATGTTGAAACACACCTGATGCCATGTCATGCCACTAAAACACATCACAGACTATCAGACAACACATGGGTGCCTGCATGGTGTCCAGTATCGTTTTGACATCAGTCACTGATAGAGCATCCTGCTCCCAGGCCACCAGCACTTCTCTGATGGCTCCTGGCATGTTGAAACACACCTGGTGCCACGTCAAGCCACTGAAACACAACACAGACTATCAGACAACACATGGGTGCCTGCACAGTGTCCAGTATCCTTTTGACATCAGTCACTGACAAGAGCATCCTGCTTCCAGGCCACCAGCACTTCTTTGATGGCTCCTGGCATGTTGAAACACACCTGATGCCATGTCATGCCACTAAAACACATCACAGACTATCAGACAACACATGGGTGCCTGCATGGTGTCCAGTATCCTTTTGACATCAGTCATTGATAGAGCATCCTGCTCCTAGGCCACCAGCACTTCTCTGATGGCTCCTGGCATTTTGAAACACACCTGGTGCCCAACATGCCACTGAAACACAACACAGACTATCAGACAACACATGGGTGCCTGCATGGTGTCCAGTATCCTTTTGACATCAGTCACTGATAGAGCATCCTGCTCCCAGGCCACCAGCATTTCTCTGATGGCTCCTGGCATGTTGAAACACACCTGGTGCCACGTCATGCCACTGAAACACAACACAGACTATCAGACAACACATGGGTGCCTGCATGGTGTCCAGTATCCTTTTGACATCAGTCACTGATAGAGCATCCTGCTCCCAGGCCACCAGCACTTCTTTGATGGCTCCTGGCATGTTGAAACACACCTGATGCCATGTCATGCCACTAAAACACATCACAGACTATCAGACAACACATGGGTGCCTGCATGGTGTCCAGTATCGTTTTGACATCAGTCACTGATAGAGCATCCTGCTCCCAGGCCACCAGCACTTCTCTGATGGCTCCTGGCATGTTGAAACACACCTGGTGCCATGTCATGCCACTAAAACACATCACAGACTATCAGACAACACATGGGTGCCTGCATGGTGTCCAGTATCCTTTTGACATCAGTCACTGATAGAGCATCCTGCTTCCAGGCCACCAGCACTTCTCTAATGGCTCCTGGCATGTTGAAACACACCTGGTGCCATGTCATGCCACTGAAACACAACATAGACTTTGATGTGCCAATTCGCCAGGCTTTCGACATTGGAACATCCTTAAATTGGTTCAGGCTACAGTAGTGTTTTTAATATCTCAGTTTTATATTTTTCTTACTTTAAATGGTGTCTGGAAAACAAACCAAGTTTGTAGTTTCAATGAAGGCAAATTTAAAGCGTTGTTTAGATTTGACAACAGAGACACTTTATTTTAACAACTTTATACACTTTAGAAATTCTTTTTTCTTCTTTCGTGTGTATTCCAATCTTTTCTTTTCTCAAACTTTTTTGCGGGAGGTTTAGGATAGACAACCGAAGAATCTATTATTAGATTTGAGGTTAGGAATGTTTTTGAATATTACTTGAGTTTAAAGTCGGCGTCCGTGGATGTGAACTGGGTGAGAAGAGTTTCTACAATACTCGGGTCGCAATGCTGCAACATGTTGTCTGGAGATTTGGGCTTGCCTCTCTCTACAAGACATTCTCTGACCCACTGCTTCATGAACGAATCTCCCTTGCCTTCGTCACTGAGGACAACCTGCAATCACATCGAACAATCAGTAAGAGAAAATGTATTGAGTATACACTTGGATATTTGGCTTGGGCCTTTTGTGAGTTTATGAGAAACAAATTTGTCTTTAATTGGACAGTATTAAATATGACAGTTTTGCAGTATTTTTGCACAAACAATTTTCAAGTATTTCTTATGGCGATTAATAACCTTACAAACCACGGATTAAAGAAATTAATTTTTACAACGACGGGTAAAACAGTTTACGCCACCTCAGAGCCGAAGGTTTGGGTGATGTAACACAGCATGAGGAAGGTGATGTCAAACAACATAGCCAGGGTCTTGTTGCCTTCGTCGATGCCTTGCTTGCAACACTCGTTGAGGTTGATCAACTTGTTAACCAGAGTGCACAACTTGCCCTCAACAGTGGCTACAGCGAGTATCAGCTCAAAACTCTTCCCTGTGAACACCTGACTCAGCATCCCAAGCAGTGATTCCTGAAACATAGTTTTAGCATAGAAGTAACAAGCCTAGTAGTCAAGTACAGCTTAAAACATCTGACATCATATTTCAACATTTTTCGCACAATCTATATACTTCCAGCGGATATAAAGAACAAGTGACCCATTAGCTGTTGTTTGTGATAAGAGAATGTCATGCACAACTGTGACCTACTCATTACTGTGTACATTTACAGTACAGCAGTAAAACCAGGATCTTCTGTTCTAGCGGCTGTTCATACAACTGGGCTGTATTAATATCAATCCATCTCCCAACTATCTATATACACTTAATACAATAAGGGTATTCTCTGTAACATCCATTTCCAGCAATCATAGATAACTGATTTTTGTGATTTAATTGTAAAGCTTATGATCTCACAGAGAAACAAATGGTAACTAGAGAGGTAATTCCATTTAGGGTCCCCTTGGCATTTGATTAATTCCTAGAGTCCATTTTTAAACATCGTCTGACCAATTTTATTTATAGTTTTCAATGGGAATTGTAACTTAATAACATCTTATTCTTGAGTTAAATTGTTTAACCAGTCAGATAGTAAAAGGGAGACAAAAAGGTTCATGAAAATTGATCATAAATAACCTAGGCTGCTTTTACATAATATTGAGGGAAGTAAATCACTCTAAATGGTATATTGATCTACGATCAAGAAATTTATTTACTTTAAAAAGTAGTTTTATTTGTCTAGCAACTTTCAAAAAATTATCTTTGAATGGTAAAAGGGTACTGCAAATCGTTTTGCCTCGAAACAAGTTATGAACAATTAAAATGTGCAGCTTGTGCACAGGTATCCTCGTAAAAAATTATTACGGATAAAAACTTCAGAATTGTTGACACTCAAAGAAACTTTTAGCAGCAACAAACAAATTAAGAATTTAAACTATTAAATAAATACACCAAATACAATTTAAAGTTACGCCAACCTTAGGAAACTCAGCGTCCAGGGACTGGAGCACCCTAGCCAATGTTGGCTCTGCTCTGATGATCACTTTGGTGATTGGCATTCCTGACAAGGCTGCTTCCATCTTGTGCAGCTTAGCGATGGCTGCTTCCCTGTCACACAATATGATATGTACACACATTTCGTTCATGCACAGCACAGTAATAAAGTTTTTTTTTTGTAAAGAGGTTGGCAGACTTTTTAAATCCTGCTTTTGCCTATAATGAGCCTCAATGACCTGTGGTCGGCTGTATCAAGCAATGCAAGGGATGCAAGGGATAACAATGAACTGTACTAATATGTTTTCAAATGCAAACCCAAGACCCACAAAAAACCAGAATCTATGGATATTCTTAGATGAGGATCTCTTGTTGCATTAATTAGATTATTGTGTTCGTGGGAGATGAGAGGATTACAGCATTGTCTGCTACAATGGCTAAACAGTTTGCTATTTTTTTCTTCTGATTTATTGTAAATGTAACTGTCATTCTGTCCTGTCAATTGCAAAAATGCTTGAATAGATTACCTTAGAAAACACATTAGAATGGTTTTCAATCGTAAGAAAAAGATCTAATTATGTAGTTGCCACATAATAAAAAAAAAATTATAAATAAGAATAGTATTATGTCAAAGTAAGAACTTCTATGAAAAAATGTCAATTTTAGTTACCGTTTGGCAGTGTACAGTATCACATGTTCCTCAGAGACGAGGTTGAGCTTAGCGAGTTCTCCGAGGAAACACTCTAGGTTGTTGCAGGAACACCGAGCGTCCATGGTGTCGAGGAGAGGCGTAAACTGCAACACTAGGTCCAGGCTGTCTACAACGTCTTGACTGAACTCATCCGGCTTTACACCTAAACATCGTACCTCGGTTATTGGCACTGATTATGATTTCATAATTTTAAAGTACAAATTGAAGCTTTGTAGTAACTGAGTAAGCTTCATATGAATGACAGTCCTAATACTCACTTGGAAAGGATAGCGACTGAGCCAATCACATTTGCCCATTGTGTTTGGTGCTGTTAAAATTATACTTTTTTAACCCATTGGGGAAGGAATTAATGCGCTACCTGCAGCACCCTCTGGCGGCAATTAATTTTACCGAATTTGTAGACTTTTACTCTAACTGCTATAGAAAGAAAACCTTAGGTAATAAATTAATAATTCTTTCACTATTTTGTTCACAGTAAAATTGTCTACAGAAAAGTGGTAATTGGATAGTCAAAGTTCTAAACTAAAAAATATATATATATATAAAGATTATTAAAATAAAAATTTTAAAAACTATATTTTGAAAGTAAACTTGATATACAAATTCCAAGATTAATCCAGACACCAAATAACACTACTATTATAATGTTCAATCGATTCCCTACGTAGAAAAATCAAAAGTTGTGTACTTTTATGAGTAATAACATTTTTTTTTAATTGTTTGTTTACCTTACCGCAGCTGATTTTTGGTGATATGTGGTTTCCATGGCAACACAAAATTGTTTGTTATTCCCTAAAATAAATGAGTAAATACGCAAATCAAAAAGCAAGATATTTATAAACATTATAATAGTAAGAAGAAACAAAAAGGGCGAAAAATAATAATAACTAAATAACTAATGGCGCTGCCTAGCGGTGACACGAGCGGCACTCGTAAGTCGGCCGCCGGGCCTGCAGCGGCCGTACGAGTAACGCTCGTAAGTCGGCGCCAATGGGTTAAAAGCAGCCTTCAAAGCTGAGTTAGACTGTTTGATTTGGCTTTGAAATGACAAGATAAATATTTCTGTGATCAGTTTTTTTTTTTTTAGAACTGACACTGGCCACTTGGTCTGAAATTTAAAATATGCATCGTTGGTAAACAGAACCATAGGTATTATGTGTACACCATTGTTGTCTAAACTTCATTACCTCTGGGCAGATTGGTGTTGTGCAGCTGGTTGAGTAAGTGAGGGACCTTGAGAAATGTGAACGCTCCCCACTGTGACTCCTTGCTGGTGTCTAGCACGTCGTACAAGATGATGAAACAGGCCCTGATTAGCTCACTGTACAGTCGCACATTGCTGTAGCCCTAAACAAACACTCTTGTATAGCAACAAACTAGCTGTAACCCGCGGGCTTTGCCCCGTTTAACTTCTTAATTTTCAAGATGATCTCGTTCGCATGGCTCAATCACGTCCTGGTTGAAGTTTGTTCGCTACGCTCACTCACCTTTAGGTTGGAGCTCGTTCGCTGCGCTCACTTGCCTTCAGGTTAGCTTGTTTGCTTCGCTAACTCGCCTCCAGGTTGAAGTTCGTTCGCTACGCTCACTCACCTTTTGGTCGCAAATTAGCTGTTGTCATAAATGTAAAAGAAACTAAGAAACTAAATCATTCCAGAAATGATTATTTAGGTTTTTCAAGCATAAAAAAATTATGAATTTTATCAGGAACGTAATCTTGCAATTTTACCAAAATATTTGTCTGCCATCTTTGAATGTCTAGGCAAAGTCATTATTCAGTGTGTCTTTTGCAGGGCTTATTTGCTGTCAACACATCCTACTAGCCAATAACAAAATGAGGCTGTTAGGCTGACCTAAGAACATTTCAAGCTTTTTCCAGTGTCTCATATTACCCTATGTCTTACCTTGATACGTTGTATCATGAGCAGCTGGTTGACTAACACCTGAGAGTCACAGCTAGGATTCAGCAGCACCTGAACAGCCAGGACAGATTGTAGACAGTAGGTCAGTGGCTCGACACCCCTGTCTATCTCCAGTCCAGTGCCAGACAGCTCCAGACTGCACAGTTTTCTGTCCAACAAAAGTAAAAAATTAGAAATCTGATTTATGACGTAGTTTTTCATGTAGCACTAAAAATACACAAAAAGTCAAATTAATATCCATAAAGGGAAAAGTTTATCGGCATGCCACAAATTGTTAAGTTCTCGCCTACTTTCACATAAAACTAAAATCCGTATTTACAAAACTATAATAAGACTAGTCTTACTACATGGCTCAGAGAATTTGGTGCTAAGCAAGATTACCGAAAAACAACTTATAGTGTTCGAAAACAAGATTCTAAGAAAAATCTTTGGACCAACCTCTGAAAATGGAGAATGGAGAGTAAAGCACAACAGGGAGTTGAGAGAGTTGTACAGGGACCCGGATATTGTGGCTGAAGTAAGAAGTAGAATATTGAGGTGGGCAGGCCATGTGTTAAAAGGAAGAGGGCTCCTCAGTGAGAAACACCCTAAACAACAACCCCGAGGGTAGAAGACCTCCTGGAAGGCCCAAGTTGAGGTGGAGAGATCAAGTGAGAAGAGACCTGAGAAGAAGGGGAAGAAGGGAGGATGAAGCAGTGGATCGTGCAATCTGGAGGCAGTGTGTTGGCGAGGCAAAGTACCTCCTTGGATACCAAGAGCCACAGAAGTAAGTAAAGGTAGAAGCTTACGACACAGATATGCTATCACATACTAACATTAGATACCTAATAAGAAGCGTGATGAAAATGTATTAAAAAGATTTAATGGAATTCATATGAAAATGGATTTAAGCTGAACCTCTGTACTCTTAACTATTGATTATTCATCAGTTTTGATACCCACTTATGTTAGGTTTTCTTTTTGTCTCATCCACAAAATTTACAAAATTATTTTAAATAAAGTTTTGTTTGTGGTCACTTATACACAGTAAGGGTAAACATAAAGAAGTAAGGTACAGAGGGAACTTGTTTTGCCATGCGCTTTCAGCTCTGTTTTGTTGTTCTGAAAATGTACTTGTGACGATTAAGGAACAGCCAGAGCGGTGAGAACGGTTGAGAAATTCCTGTCGCACAGGGTTATTCTCCACCCTGAGCATTGTAGTACATGAGGGTGAGGGGGCGGTATCGGACTTTTCCCTGAACACCAGCGACTCGTGCTAGACACCAATAAGTTGTACCATTGGATGTTTCCTCAGTACCTTACTTCTCTGTAAGGATAAATTGAAATGATCAAAATCCCTGATTTTAAGAGTAACTCTAAAGACCACCCTTTCTACCAATATCCACCCGAGCCATTCACTATTCATTTTCGTTAAACCTTTCCCACAAAACTTTGCTTAAAACAAGAGAATTCCTCTTGAGTTGAATACTACAGGATTTAAGCCCTAAGTCTTATTACCATACAACGCCTTACACTGTCCTTTCATTGATCAGGCCCAGGCCACTGCACTAACAACACTAGCAAACTGAAAACCCAGACTTAACAGTTTTTAGTTTGTTTAGGTTGCAATTACCTAGACAAAGACCCTATAGTTTTCACTTGATTTGTGGCGTTATGTTAGCAAAAGTTGTTGCTTGTGAAGAATTGGTTCTGTAATCTTTTTTGTCTTATGATTCAAGATAACTTTATTAATTTTTTATACATGCGTACATAGAATGGGGTCAATTTTAAATTTTTACTAACTTAAAATATACAAAAACATTATAAGTTAATAATTTCACTGCAATATACATGAAATTAGACATAGAGATAAGTTTATCATTACATTAATTAAAAAAAAAACTCATGTAGAGAGTACAACGGTTTAGATAGCATTAAGCTCTTAAAAACACAAAAATCTTCTGTGGTTTTTAAATCCACCGAAAGAGCATTATAGAATACATGCAAAAAGAGATACCTGCATAGGAAGGTTTCTTTTTATATAATTTAAGATTGTGGCTTGTATAACCAAATACTCTATTGTTTCTAATCTATGGTTTTGACCTAACGTTCCTATTCTATGACAATTCTTTTTTATAAACAAAATAAGTTTAAAAATGTATAGACTATGTATCAGTCCTTGCACAAAAAAAGGTTGAAAGATAATGGTCGGATAATTAACTAAGTACTTAGGATTTTTAGTGAGCAGGGTTACCTGAATGCGAAATAGACCAAACTGGCACAAGAAACATAAAACTGACTACTGTAATAACTTTCTGGCTACCATTAGGCCTGAAAACTTTCTCTTCTTTAGTTGAAAATGTTGTCAGTGACAATGAAATATTCTGTTTTGTGTATATAGCTTAAAGTTTTGTGTTTCTTGTGTCAGTTTGTACTTTTAAACATTCAGGTAAGCCTCCTATCCTCACTAAAAATCCTAAAAACCTAGGCCCTTGTTCTCTATGTTACATCCTTAATTAAGTACTTACAGTAAGACATGTTTGATGGTGAGAGCTCCTGCCTGTCCTGGGTTCTGGTTGAGTGACGTTTCCAACACCTGACATTTGTTGACCACCTGTGAGCAAAATAGTAAATAGATAAGAACTCAAGAAGCAAACTTTATGTAGGATAAACTGTTTTTGTATTACATACACAAAATGTAGCACTGTAGAATTCTTTCAGCCTTTGATGAAATAGGAGCTTTGTCAGGTGCTTAGTAAATCTAAATGCAAAATCTGAGTCAGAAATTAGCAACATGTTGCAATACTTGGTGGTGCGGATAGCAAGGGCGTAGCCAGGATCTTCTTTTGAGGGGTGCTGACATTCACGGGTTGCAGGGGAGGTTTGGGAGGTTAGCCCCCAACCAACGAGGGGTCCGGGGGATGATTTTGTAAATTTTAGAGCAAAATTGTGTGTAAGGCAAAATGAGCATTTAAAACCTCTTATTTTGATTCATTACAGAGACAGACCATAGGAAAATGTAAGACAGAAGGGTAAGATTTTGTTCCTTACCTTTACCGTTCAACAATTAACCATATATTACTAACACAGTCAAACTCATTAGGATAAAAATAAAGAAATAAGAACTAAAAAAATTTTAAAAACTTAATATTTTATGAGAATTTTTTGGCGTGCTGGAGCAGCTTCAGCCAACCCCCCCCCCCCCTGGCTACACCCTTGGCGGATAGGGTTTTTGGATTGGAATTTTTGAAGGTCAAAAAAAGTTATTTAAAACTTCCAGCCTAATCATACGTCATTAATCTTAACAAGTAAAACGTACATAATTTAAACTTCCTTAATAGAAACAATGTGGAAATAAGTGAATAATTCAATTGAAATGTTAGACATTTTCACCTTTTTTTTATAATGTAGAGTTTAATAAAATTCAAAATCTAAAAACTGGCCTTGCAACATGGAGCATTGCTGCAATATGGCCTAATACTACATAACCAAATCTAGGTAATTTCCTACTCCCCTACGCCTCGACCCTTAATGTGATAGAAAGCACCCTATTTTGGTCTCAAGTAACCAGGCGAGTAATGCATGACAGCTTCTAAAACTGGCCAAGAATACAGGCAGACTTACCCAGTTGATGGCAAATGAGGTACCGTAATGCACAAAAAAATATGGTTGGCGTGCCTTGATTCAGAGCCAATTTCTTCTTCTTTCAATCAATAAATCAAACAACACATCTCCACAGAGAAGTAAGGTATAGAGGAAACACCTCAAGAGACAAATGTGCACTTTCAGCTCCAGAATGTTGCGGAAATATTCTTGTGACGAGCAAAGAAGAGCACAAGCGGCGATCACTGTTCGGAAATTCCTATCACAAAGGTCAAAGGGTCCTCCACCGTGAGCATTGTAGTACATGAGGACGAGTGGGAACGGTGTTGGACTTTGCCCTAGACACCAGCACTAGTGCTAAACACCAACTAAGTGTACCATCAATTTTCCTCCGTACCTTACTTCTCTGTGACCTCTCATCATATCAGAGGTCAGGCACTAAACAGTACCTGCAAATACAGATCCTTCTGCTCATGCTTGGCCAAGTACAGCATAGCGGTTGTGAAGTCCCTCTTGAGCATGTGGTCCAGCAGGTTGGCAGGCTTGGTCAACAGCTGTGTGTTGTCTGTCGTGTTGGTAGCACTGTTGTGGTTGTGACTGTGGTGGTGGTAGCACTGGAGCAGCCAGTGAGCCAGAGACAGGACGGAGCCTGCAATCATCTCTTCCTCCGGCTTGAAGCGGCACGTGATTCCTGGCTAGAGTGAACATTGAAATTAAATCGGAAGAAAATACTTTGTTCCTACAGTCAAAGAAATGCTGTATAGGTATATAATAGAATAGAAACAATTTAAACACTACTAAAAGATGTTTCACACACATCACCTCAATCTCAGTTGCATCCGAATTTCGTCAGTTGGTTTTCTGTCAGTCTTTCTTACTTTACAGTGATGTTACAGTCAAGCTTATTCAACAATGAGTAAATGTAAATTTGATGAGACACTATAACCTCAATGGCTGATTTAGCTGTAATAGTGATAGCCATATATTACAGAGGGATTGAAAATAAGAGAAAAAATGGAAGAGGGTTATTCATGATTTATGGAAGAGGAGGAAAAGTGTAGGAGAGTTCATCACGATATTTAAGGATCTAATGAACATGAAACCAAGTTCTTCCAATATTTTAGGATGTCGCAAAAAAGTAAAGTAAGGAACTGTAATGAAAACTATCATAACTTCGTCATAAACAAAAAAAAAAACAATAGACCTATTTTTTTAGTGCCAAACATACACGTCACACGAGGGTCAGGCATCCGAACAATCCAAAAATATCAGTGGGAAGAAATCATCAATTGACTGACAGACCTGCGCCAGATGAATCTTCATTTTTGATTTCTTCATTTACTCGTGAATCTTCATTTTTGATTTCTTCATTTACTCGTATATGCGCAACAGGAAATTAAATAAAGAATTAAATTTTTTGACTGACGTGACTAGCCTGTGATGCGCCAGACCAGAACTGAAGTGTGTAAGTGAATCAATTTTAAATCAAAACTAATATATCAAGTTTCATAGCCCAAAACAACCATAGGACACACAGCCAGGGCAATATGCTTTACAATTTTTAAAGTGCCGCCAGAAACTGTGGATGACTATTAAGTACTTATACTACTAATACTACTGGTATTATAATATGAATACTATTCCAAAGACGGCCAAAAGTGATAAAAATAGCCCTGTCATTTGATGTTCTCCCATTATGATACAATGTGAAACATAAAAGCTTGTTAAATTAAAAAATGAACATTCAATCACTAGGCCTACCATAGTAAAGTATTTTGAATTTCAATGGATTTTAGGCCCAAACTAAACCGGTGCAGAAACTTTAATAACTGTAATAAGGGCTCACGATAGGTATATCAAAATCAAAATTCAACATGTTTGTAATAATTGTTTTAACAAACAAAGTGAGACTCACTCATGTTTAAAATAATTCATTGGAAAGGATATGGATACTATTTTAGTTTATTTATTTATTCATTTGTACACGGCAATAACCATTTTACATTAAAAGTTTCTTGATGTTTGATACAAATATAAATATGCAACATGAAAGATAATGTGTAAATAACTTGTCAATATGTGTAGATAAAGTTAATGTGTATGTAAATAACATCCAAGAAATAATTTCTAGAAGCTGTCAAGTACAATTAGAAACATGAAAATTTAAATACCTAGAAGTAATTAGACACTATATTTTACCAGAATGTTTTCCAGGAACTCAAGTAGGCTAATGATGCAATGAGGTTTATGGAAACCGTCGTACTTGCTTATTCTTTGTAGCACAGCAGCATAAGATACCAGCTGGAAAGTGTAAATGAAGTCATTACAGTTTGTTTTTGTTAACACTTAGGTCTAAATGAATTGACTCACTCAGTCAAAACCAAAAATATACTGTAGGACATATATTGAAAAAGAAAACTTGTTGATAAAAAGGACACTAGCCTATATTGAAAGGGAAATCTTAGATACAAATTTATAAGAGACAATTTTTTGTAACAAAACCTAGCATTTAATACAATAATTTTAACAATTTAATTAAATACAATAAATAAACTAATTGCATACAAATTCCCAAGTAAAAGGTTAAAATAGGCTTCTTTACCTTAGTAATATTGTCAAGATTGCAGGAGATTCAGGATTCGGTATTAAACCCAGAATCACAAGGTACAATAGGAAAATAAAAGATTCCCTAATCCAGTACCGGTATCGCAAGTTTTGAGGAATTGAGTAGGTATCGCATCCCTATTTTAAGGCTTAGTCACGAAATTCAGAGTTCAATTTAAAGTTTTTGATCGATTCAACAAAAATTACCGTTTTAGGATTTTCATGGTTGAGTGGATATCTTGTAGAAACTTAATTTACAAAACAGGTTTAGGGAACATTCTACAGTGTAAGATCACACGTTAAAACCATTAAATGCTACGATTCTAATGTTTTCTTAAGGTGTTTACCTGTGAGCTAAGGGAATGCTTGAGGTAGGAAAGAACCAGATGGTTGGGTCCAGGGCCAACAAGAGCTTGCTGGAGGATACAGTCTGCTAAGTTGTAAACATCGCCACTTACACCTCGAGGCAAAATCTGGATAAAAACATAGACAACATTAGGGCAAATAAAAATAATGTTCTGGCAAAAAGTTAATTTTGTTTGGTAAAACAAGGATTAACAATAGTTATAAAAGAATTGTGTAATTTAGTGTCTTACGATTCTCTCTTTGGTTACTTAGTCCTACTGTTTAGTTGGCTGGTAGGCCTACGGGTACTTTTGAACTATAGCATAAGAATTAGTTGGTGAATACTTCTAAGAATTTCTTATACTACAGTTTAAAAGTACAATGCAATGCAACCCTGCTAATCCATGTACTGACGGGATCATTGTCGAAACTGTGCAAAGGACTGATTATCCGACCAATTAAATGTTCAGGCTACCTACCTGAAATTTATTGATCCCATTCGATCACTGAATATGGTGATAATGTCCCCATGACTGCCAAGGACATTAAATATTATGCTTTGATCGTCTGAGACGATGATGATGTTTCCTTAAGCGTAGGAGATCGCTGTGATTGCAGATAGACCCCTAACAATGATAAAGTTTTTGTGATGGCTGGAGATGATAATGATGACCCTGCGAGTTTGGGAGATGTGTAATATGTTGCCTGAAGAATGTTTAGAGTTTTTTCACGTTAATGGAAGACGATGATAATATTTCTGTGGCCATGGGAGACATTCAATATTCTTCTGTATGGAGGATGATGATAAATGTTTCCGTAATCGCGAAAAAGTTTGACTTAAGTTATGATTCCATGATTGCAAGGGATAAACAAGATCGCGATTACGGGAGACAGTGACGATCTCCACAGGACCATGGCAAATAGTTATGATATTACTGTCATAACATGAACATTGTCACTGATAGGCGATGGCACAGTCAGATTACCTTAAGCGAGGAAATGGACTAGCCGGAAGTCGTTCAGCAGGATTCTGAGTTAGGCCTATCTAAACTTATGTCTTTTAACTTTCATGATATCAATGTTTTTACTTTTTAAATTTAAGATAAGTTAACAAGCCTAAGTTACTTAGAAGTTCTAACTTGAAAATAAAAAATGGGACACTTTCTCACAATTTGTTAATTTTATCTCTAGGCCTAACTTAGAAAACTTGTACTCACAGTTTTTATATGAATTCCCCATTGTAAGTCAGACCATCTTTCTCTCCAGGCTCGCAGCAGAAGAGCTTTTAAACTGCTGGTTTTACTAGTCACTTTGCCATCCATAGTTGTTTTGGTTTAGTTCACTACGTCATCTAAAAAAACCAAATGCTAATGTACTTAAACATTCTCAAGAATCATATTTTTAGTAGGTACCTAAGTTAGCTTAGCCTTACTACATGAAACCTGTGACTAAGCCTTTAGGTTCATGAGTTTTAAAACCGAGATACCATAAGCTAGTCGGGAACTTAAGCCTTACAACAAATACCAAAATAACAGGTCGAAAATCAGGAACTTTGTAAGATTAATGGAAATGATTAAAACTGTTTTACTCTAACCTAACCTAACTTCCCGAACCATTTTGCATTTGAGGTTTTTTAAAATAGGAATAAGAAAGTAAATGAATATGTTTAAAATATGTTCATTCGGTAAAATAAATAAGGTTAAATATAGAGTATTGATTGGTAAGTACAGGCCTAGGCCTAGTTGTAATATTTTATCTTGTAACTTACCTAAAGGCTGATGATTACAAACTACTTTACTTAGTTTATCATTATTTTTGCGTATGAAAACTGAAAAGTAAAGATTTAATAAACATTATTCCAAACTAACATTACGCCAGCCACAAATTTCATTTCACACAGCATTTCATTCATAAACAAGATATAATAAGTAAAAAATGCCTAAAGAGAAAGACTTGAATCTACACACAAATACAACTAACAACAAAATTTGCTTGACAATCTTGACGACATGACAAACCTGCTGACGACTAACTACAACTACAACTGATCAGAACAGAACTGAAACTGAACTGAGTGAACTGACTGAACTGAACTGACAGAAATCTAACTCGATCCGGTTCAATCTCCTACTACTACTGGATCTACTACACACTCTACCCTGCATTTCAAAGAGTGAGTGTTTTATAGTTTTACCGTTTTACCTAACCCACCATGTTAAACTTCCCTATCCCAAGCGTGCGTGATATCATAGATAAAACCATAGATAAAACATACTCCCTTAGTAGATTTCTCATCTTAATGGAACAGCTGAAGACAATTTTATTGTTAGTTCTGTACGGTTTAAGGCGGTGACACACTATCGATCTTTTCCCCGATCAAGACCCCGAACCGAGCAGGGAGAAGGGAGAAGGGAGATAAATATCAGCAAAATTTTACTCCGAACATTTCCCCGAACATGACCAAGACCAGACGAATTCTACCGAGCGCGGCAAAAGGAAGTTTGGAGAGAGATAGAGAGTGTGTGCGAGTGAGAGCGCGGAGGTTTCTATAACAACAAGTTTCTATAACATAAAAATTATTGTTAAAAGTCGCATTTTGAAAACTTGTCGCAAAAATAAAATATTCTAGAAAGGATGCTTAGTTATATCTATTGATTTCTATTGGTTTTATTCTTTGAAATAACGTTACAGAATGATCATTTTAATTGCCTTTAATAATATTAATGTTTATATTATTTTTAAAAGAATTTAAGTCAACATCAATTACTTAATTCAACCTTAATATTATTGATATAATTGATTTAACGGTTTCTACACTTTCAACCTTGACCAAACAAACCACAAACATTACATCTTAAATGGTTATATATAATATATAATGGCAACATATTACCCAACATTTATTTATTTTACCAATTAAAGAGTTTAATTGCCATATTAAATCAGAACTATCAATGCTAGCGCAGGCGGCCGCTCGGTGCGGCGCTCGCGACGATGTACGGGGCAAAAGTGTACCGTGACACACTATCGTACATCGGACCGATCTTTTCTTTGATCTTTCGCCAAAAAACCGCCTCCAGAGCGCTCGTCTCCCTGCTCGGCCTGATGTCTGGTTCGGCGTCTTGATCGGTGTACGGACCCGTGACACACTATCGAACATCCTCCCTTCGACCTCCCTTCTCCCTTCTCCCTGCTCGGTTCGGGGTCTTGTTCGGGGAAAAGATCGATAGTGTGTCACCGTCTTTATGTTAGAGCTCGTGTTTTGTTTACAATTTGTTTCCCGTTAATACAGTCATTTAAAACCTCGTTTAACCAAATAATAAGATCTAATCATAAACAATAAATTGTCCCCTAGTTATTTAACCAAACAGTAAAGCACAAATCAAGAAATTAACCCTAAAATAATAGAAACAAAATTTCGTCGACACTAGCGCCCAGTGTGGCGTACATGAACTAGACATGAAAAACGAGCTTCAAAATTTACAATGGGATGAGAAGTCTACTTGTGTTGGTTAGTCTATGATAAAACATACTCCCTTAGTAGATTTCTCATCCTTATGGAACAGCTGAAGACAATTTTATTGTTAGTTCATGTACGGTTTATGTAGAGGTCGTGTTTTGTTTACAATTTGTTTCCCGTTATTACAGCCATTTAAAACCTCGTTTAACCAAATAATACGATCTAATCATAAACAATAACTTGTCCCCTAGTTATATAACCAGTAAAGCACAAATCAAGAAATTAACTCTAAAATAATGGAAACAAAGTTTCATCGACACTAGCGCCTTTGTGTCACGTACATGAACTAGACACGAAAAACGTGCTTCAAAATTTACAATGGGATGAGAAGTCTACTTGTGTTGGTTAGTCTATGGTGATATGTATACAACTTCTCGAGTGATGTAAAGTTGAAAAAAGCTCACTCGGTGAGGTAATGAAATCCATTTAAATAACATTGTGTGTTTAACTTAAAAAATATACCTATATGGAGCCAACGACGTTCAACGCTAGAAATCAGCTGTGCGCTTGAATTTTATTGTTATGTTTTGAAGAATTTTCCTAACCTAGCTTTTGTTTGTAAAAGAACGTTACTGTTAGAAGATGAGTGAAATGGATAATGAAAAATATTGTTCGTAACCTCCTGTATATTGTCGGGTCAGGTAAAATCTTGTACGTTACGCGTTACGCAAGAGCGTGTTTACATCACTTAGGTAAATTATGCAACTCGCGGACAACATTCAACTGCGTGATGTAAAAACGCTCTTACTACACTTGTAAGGTAATATCTATTTACGTTACAAGTGTAGTAAGAGCGTTTTTACATCACGCAGGTGAATGTTGTGCAACGAGCGGAAGCGAGTTGCATAATTTACCGAAGTGATGTAAACACGCTTTTGCGTAACGTGTAACGTACAAGATTTTACCTGACCCGACAATATACAGGAGGTTACGAACAATATTTTTCATTATCCATTTCACTCATCTTGTAACAGTAACGTTCTTTTACAAACAAAAGCTAGGCTAGGAAAATTCTTCAAAACATAACAATAACATTCAAACGCACAGCTGATTTCTAGCGTTGAACGTTGTTGGCTCCATAGAGGTATATTTTTTTAAGTTAAGCACTTCATGTTATTTAAATGGGTTTCATTACACCACCGAGTGAGTTTTTTTCAACTTTACATCACTCGAGAAGTAACGAAGTTATATACATCACGCTTGGGATAGGGAAGTTTAACATGGCGGGTTAGGTAAATAGCTATTACCATAGATAAAACATACTCCCTTAGTAGATTTCTCATCCTTATGGAACAGCTGAAGACAATTTTATTGTTAGTTCATGTACGGTTTATGTAGAGGTCGTGTTTTGTTTACAACTTGATTCCCGTTATTACAGCCATTTAAAACCTCGTTTAACCAAATAATACGATCTAATCATAAACAATAACTTGTCCCCTAGTTATATAACAAAACAGTAAAGCACAAATCAAGAAATTAACCCTAAAATAATAGAAACAAAGTTTCATCGACACTAGCGCCTTTGTGTCACGTACATGAACTAGACACGAAAAACGTGCTTCAAAATTTACAATGGGATGAGAAGTCTACTTGTGTTGGTTAGTCTATGCTATTACCTATGGAGTAGACAATAAGCATAGATAAAACATACTCCTCAGCTTCAGTCTGCAGTAATAAATTCTTGGAGAAATGAGAAAATGATGTCGAGACAAATACCACGGGAACAGTGGCGGCGATAGCGGGCCCTGCGAGCTAAGGGGGCCCGTGAGCCTTGACCGGGATTTTTCGAAAAATTTCACCGGGACACGGGCTCACGATTGTGCGACAGGCTCAGCCACACGGGCCCCCTATCATAACAATATTTATATGATAATTACCATACTTTTTTATGACGAAAATATGTTATAACCTGTATAAAAACACTAAGTTAGGACAAGTAGTTTACAGCAGCTAAACTGACACTATTACAGTGCTTGACCGTCTTGACCGATCAATATAAATTCTCTACAATAGAAGAGAAAAGTGTTTTATTGAATACTTATTATGTACAGTACATGAAATGGATACGATAGATTGATACATGCACATACAACAATGGTCACGACCGTCTGCTGGGTTGCATAATGTCCATTCAATATTAATAAAATTGTCCCCACATAAATCAACATACTGAGCACTAAAACAAAATAAAATAACACTTCTTTATGCAAAACATATACATACATATATACACATACACATGTATGTATACTCTAAACATATTGTAATTATGTCGTCTATAATCATTCAAAATCGTTTTCAAGATACAAAATTTGTTTAATGAAATTCCCTAACTAACTCCTATCTACGTTTCTATGCAATTTTTAAAAAACTTCCAAGGCCCCGCCAATCCTTCCCATTCAAATAATCCACAAACTCCTCATATTGTATTTTTTGTTTCCCAAAATATAAGAGACGCAAGTCATTGGTTTGGGTGGTCACTAGCCACACCAAAGCTAAGTAAATTACTAAAAGAATTGTCATCAGTCATGCAGGTTGCATCAACTGGTGTCCTCGTGGAATGTGTGAAGGCGCTATAATAGGGCCGAATTCAGAACCAATGTGGCCGCCGGCCTAGAAGGATAAAACAGTAATGTTAATCCTAATAGCACACGGTGGGACACACCAGAGAGGACCCCCTTTGCTGATTCAACTAAATGAACTTGACATTGTTTTTACGATTAAATCGGCGAACTAACTAACCTAGATAGCTAGGGCACTATATAGCTAATAAATAATTAAACTGTTTCATGATGCTAAAGAAGGATTTTAATTTGATTTCATTTCTTACTATTAGGAGGCGGCACTTTATAGGGGGAGCGTTTCATAAACTCAAAATTTCAAGTCCAACGGTTTAAATATTAAATAAACAGAGCGTTTCACGAGGTCCAAATTTCATAAAGTCCAAAACTATAACATTAAAATAATCACCGTTTCACAATGTCCAAATTTCACAAAGTCCAATGTTAAAAAATCAAATAAACAGAGCGTTTCACAAGGTCCAAATTTCATAAAGTCCAAAACTATAACATTCAAATAATCACCGTTTCATAATGTCCAAATTTCACAAAGTCCAACGTTAAAATATCAAATAAACAGAGCGTTTCACAAGGTCCAAATTTCATAAAGTCCAAAACTATAACATTCAAATAATCACCGTTTCATAATGTCCAAATTTCACAAAGTCCAACGTTAAAATATCAAATAAACAGAGCGTTTCACAAGGTCCAAATTTCACAAGGTCCAACGGTACAGTCACAGAAAACGTACTAGTAGTACGTTTTCTCATTACGTTATTAATTAATTTTTTCATACACTGTATCGTTTTGTATATATTTATCTTGTAAACTAGTTTTTTTCTTATTTATCTTTTTCTTGTATACAAATTCTGTGTACAATATGTATATTTATATAAATTTTCCTTTTTGAATGTAGCCTAAATAATTATTGTTTTTTGTGCGGATGATTGACTCAATCCCCAACCACAGGCATATAGCCCATTTGGGGATTCATATTTCATAAATCGTTTATGTACCATTCAATCTGATGTTCTGTATTGAAATAATAAAGAATTCATTCATTCAATAATTCATTCATTCATTCATTCTGTGGTACAGTCTGGGCCAGAAGTCTCTAAAGTGGTTGCCACGGTTAGATAGCAGGCTCCGTCCGCCGGCGCTCAAACTACTGATTACAGATTACTCCCTGTTGCAGCAAACCTAAGTACGGTACTTGTTAAACTAATGCTATTTAAATCGGGAATAAATGTGATCATTTTGAGGAGATATTCTAGTGTAAATCAAATAAGGGAAATGGAAATTCTATGAGTCTGCAGGTTTGCTGCGGAGGGGGTAAATACCACTATTTTACACTCCTTACAACGTATCTACGGACCCACAATGATGTTTTGTGACGCGCGGCAACAACACTAGATCGTGTAGTGCCTAAACACCGAACCACGGCAACCTCTGCAGCGACTTCTGGCCGAGACTGTACCGTTGACCCTGTGAAACGCTCTGTTTATTTTATATATTAACATTGGACTTTGTGAAATTTGGACATTGTGAAACGGTGATTAATTGAATGTCATAGCTGTGTCTAAGGAACATGTCGGCCTTAGTCACTAACAAGACTACAAGATCGCGCCACTCATCCTACACTCATCCTTCACTCATATTTGGGTTAAAATACGCACATAGTGGCGTCCCCATCTTAAATAATTGAATAATTGAATAGTTTTGGACCTTATGCAATTTGGACCTTGTGAAACGCTCTATTTATTAATATTTTAAACGTTGGACCTTGTGAAACGCTCTGTTTTAATATTTTAACCATTGGACTTTGTGAACTTTGGACCTTACGAACCTCACCCTTGGACATGGTTATGGTTTAGACAGACACGGCAAGGCCCCACTAGTGGACACGGCCATTTTCAACCCCAATGTGTCCGTTATTTAGAATGAAGTGAAATTATGTGTGCAGATTTTCGACCAATATCAGCTGTTTCTTTAGCCATAAGGATAAACATTTCAAAGCCCAATGTTCCAGAACATCTGAGACCAGTTTCGAACCATCAAAAAGCTACTGACTTTTCTCAGGATCAAACGTATATATTTTACAGATATCCTCTTGGTCGATTATACACGCGCAACGGTAAAACAAAATGTAATCCGATTCAAAATATTAGTCACAAATATGCACAACTTTACCCCCAAGTAAAATAGTTATTGCATACTTGTTACCCAGTAAACATAACTTGTTTCATCACCGCGCTCATTAGCTGTGAACGTTATTGCCGTCGTTCACACGGCGCAGACCCGACGGTTTCCTTTAATTAACAAAATGAGGCGCGGAAAGGAAAGCGTTTGCGCTTTGCAGTCGAGAGCGCTAGCGCTGCCCGGTGCAGCGGCGGACGGGCGAACTACCGCTGTGACTGTGTCAGTCGGTGTGATAGCCTATCAGTGAAACCATGTGTTTGGTGCGGTGATTACTCGGCGCGTACCAGTGATATTACGCGGGTGTCCTGCAGGTGTTGATCCTGTTATGTTCGGTGTCGTGTGTGCGCGCGGTTGAGTGAGGGTCCAGAGATGGCAGAGGCAAAGTCCTCCACTCGGAAGCTGGGCAGAAAGCTGTCCCGGAGATTATCTTTGGTCACCAAGATGCCCAACTTGATAGGCTCCAAGCTCAAGTCGGACTTTGGCTCCAGAGATTCCCTCGTGGTCAGGAGGGACCGCAGACTCCTGGAGATAACGGTGATCGCTCCGGATAAGACACAGAGGATTGTAAGTATAAAACACACCCCAGCTAGTCTAAGAACTAAGTCGGTAGACAATAATTATTGATTGTAATCAGTTTTTTTCAGTGTTTTTATTTCTTCAGTCAAACTGACAAATAGAGAGCAACCTATTTGCCCTTATCACTATCACTAGTGGTAATAGTGGTGACAGTGGTACGTATTTCGATATTTTTATCGTGTTGATGCATTTTTATATTTACAATTGTTAATTTATATTCACCAGTAAATGGTAATTTTATATGTACAGTCTTGGCGATTTTTCAGCTAATTTTAGTGTAAAAATACTCATATACACTGTACCCAACATAAGCTACTAACGTCAACGAACAAAAGGCCATCCATGATCGTGCCACTCCTACACTCATCTCCATTCATACTTGGCTTAAAATATTATACATTATATATTTCTATTTACTATTTCACATTAAGTCACATTAAATTATCAATGTCAACTCGTGCATCAACGTGCATGTAATAAATAAATACCTACTTTGTATGGTTGCCATTTCATTGAAATGTATTAAAAGTGGATACTATTTTTTTCTTCAAAAATGAGCATGCTCTCAATTTACTTATTCATTAGTCAATTTGGAATCGAAACGAAACTGTTTACTTTGTATATCAGTGTTCATTTTAAAGATTCTCAGGATGTGGCAATAGTTTTTATCAATCGGAGCAAATTCGCCGAATCTAAACAACAACGAAAACCCACCAGAGGTGAGTTCGGAGGGAATGAATGAAGGGTCATTGTTAAACGAACTGAAAGCTTTGTTACTAAAACAGCTGATTGATTATTCAGTCAACAATACTCTTTACGTGCTAAATTATGACGAGCTGTGTTCTAGTTGACAACGATTGTAAAAATAGTAAATTTAATTGAACTAATAATAGATATCACCTGACAACTTAATCAATCACTTATCATTGAACAAATATAGGTAGGGCTACGTATTTTTTATCTGAATTTAGTAAGATTAAAACTGTATGATGACATTGAAACCTCAGGCCTTTGGTAAATTCATAGTAGAAGTAATTGTTGATGAGGCAGTGGAAAAGATCTTTTAAACAGAAACTAAGTGTAAGTCTAATCAATATCGGATCTAGTAGGCAATTAGTGATCGAGTTCATTCTTATGAATCATTGTTGCATCTGTATTGGACGCGAGATATTAAAAGTGGAGTACACAAATATTTGTCATATTTTGTAAAGTAGACACAGCTTTTGATTGAGATTCCTTTGTCGAATCTCATATTATCAATGGTATATAAATGTATGATTAGTCATTACAAAACAGTTTGAAATTTTTTAAATAAAAAAACTGACAAGAATGATTATTTAAATATAAAACATGAGAATTAAAAGACGTAATTGCAACCTTTTGTAAAAAATATTACCATCCCATTAAAGCAAAAACAAAATCAATCTTTATTCTTAATTAAATTGAAAATGTCCTTAATTTATCTTCTCATGGTATGGACGACTTTTCTGAACCCAAAGTTTTAAACTTTATCTATAAACACAAAACGTGACATATGTTATGTTTAAATTAAATGGAATGAGTAACTTTGTGTAAAGAATCGTACATTATTCTTGTGCAATACCTCTTTAAAATAAATAAAAATAACTAGATTTAAAAACAGTGCTGTACAGTTTATTTTCATGCACAAAATTAAGTTATATGTCGCAAATTGTCATGCATTTTTCAATCTCGAGGAAGAAGTATTCACATCGTGATAAATACCTATCTCACTCACGTAGTTCAAACGTAGACAAATAAATTGATAATACATTACACGCAGGTAAAATTTGTAAAGAACAAAGACGCACTTAACATAACAAAGGAGAAAACAAGTACCATTGAATATGTTTATGGCATTGACGATGAGCTGGCCTAGGCCTCCACCTTTGCCTTACAGTCTATAGTGTTATATATTCAATGGTATTGTTCACATCTCTTGTATGAGTCCAAGAACTATTTAACTTGTCAGGAGATATCCAACACAGACTCAGTTCTTCTCTCGTAAGAGATTTATCTATTTACCACGACAATTAGAAGTTAAACGGTATGGTTCAGAAACATAAACAAATGACGTCACTGGCCCGAATGACTCTACTAGGAGCTATAACAGCTGGTTTGGACGTTTTTGACAGTTCCATGGCATGAGAAGCTATCCAGTGACGTCATTTGTTTGTGTTTGTGATCCGTATAGTTATAGTTCCTGCTCTGATATTTGCTCTTTTTATTTTTCACCGACTCGTGGTAAGGCCTAATTTAATCAATCGTTGAGTCTCGCGTAGACCTCGGTCAGGAGACAGGTTCCATAAAACAGACTATAGCACTTTGAATGTCTCGGTAACCAATAGGAGTTGAATAGCAATTCATATATACTCAATTTGCACCCACTAAACTTCCCTCATGTTTGATTATCGTAGTATAATCCCAACCATGGATAAAACCCTCCAACATATCCTGAAAAAATTATCATCTACGCTAAAAATTAGAACGTCATTTAAAAAATGCAGAGGCGTTATGTTACTTTTGATGCATCCTACTGTAGAGTTCATAAGCTAGCAAGTGTTGGATGCGTTTGTAGGTTTGTACACACACACCGTTTATTATTTTGACAGCGCTGTTCAGCAACAGGTGCGCATCACATGTCGCTATTTCTCTCGTTCTATCCGTCTCTGGTTCTATTCCTATCACAAGCTTACATCTTTTTTATAATTATCCTCTTAGTTTTTGAAACTGTGTTGTAGGTGGTAAGCACTTAATTTTTTGTATTACCATAATGACCCGCGAAGTAGATTTTGTTAATTTAATTTCTGATTTCAATGAGTTTGGATGATTAAATGAGTAAGTAAATTTTGGGATATGCGAAAAAAAATGTTTTTTTACTAAGAGTTTCGACCCTTTAGTTCACCGAAGAACTCGTTCGCAGTTTTGATTAACGGGATTACGGTGCATCAATAATTAGACAAAATTCCTGCTTTGTTTTTACTAATCCATTCTATTCGAAAAATCCCAAAATATCTACCTGATATTTTAACCAAAACCAAAGTCCGTATGGTCTAGCCTTGTTCACAATTTCAACACACATGATTCATTTTACTCATGAAGTTTTTAGCATATGACCTGAGTATAGCGTGAAACGTCTACAACAGGACCCCATTGTTGCTTCTAATCTCCGCAAGTAACCTAATTATAGCCTTAAAGCTCCACAAATTATCTCATAGTCAATTTAAACCCTCCATAAAGACCTAATTATAGCCTTAAAGCTCGACAAATTATCTCATTGTCAATTTAAACCCTCTATAAAGACCTAATTATAGCCTTAAGTTCCATTAATCAGCCCATTGTAGCCTTAAAACCTGCACAAAGACCGTTTATAACCTTTAAGTTCCACAGAGGTGAGAGGAACTCATTTAAGTCTTTAAGTCCCATACGTCATGGTCTCATTACAGCCCCAAAGCTTCTCACAGTAAATCATTGTAGCATTACATATAGACACAAAACCTCACTACAGCATTTAGAGTTACATAGAGTACCTCATGACCCTCGGGCCTCGAGTGACCCATGAGTACCTCTTAAAGTTCCCTTCACACCCTAAGTTCCTCAAAGAACATAATTGCACCCCAAATATTCTGCAGAGACTGCTTCAGAGTTTCACACAGTACCTCATTAGAGCCTTCAAGTTCCTTTCACACCTTAAGTTCCTCAAAGAACATCATTGGACCCCAAACATTCTATAGAGTCCTATGACTGCTTCAGAGTTTCACATAGTACCTCATTAGAGTATTGAGGTTCCACACAGTACCTCAATAGAGCCTTCATCACATCTCAAGTTAAGTTCCTCAAAGGACATCATTGCACCCAAATATTCTACGGAACCCAACAATAGCACCAGAGTTCCACACAGTACCTCATTATAGCCTTCAAGTTTTCTTCACACCTTAAGTTCCTCAAAGGACATCTTTGTAAGTTACCCAAATATTCCCAAAGTACCAACTTGTGTTGGTTAGTCTATGGTTCCACACAGTACCTCGTAATGACCTTCCACACAGGACGGAACCGCATCCACTTCCCGGTTCCAGCGGTGGATATAAAGAACAAGTGGCCCATTAGCTGTTGTTTGTGGTGACAGAGTGTCATGCAAATATGTGACTGTGACTACAACGACCTACTGTACACTGAACAACGGTTCAACCAGGAACTACTAGGGGGCATTTATACAACTTGGGCTGTTTTAATGTGATTGATGTAGTTTCATGGTCATAAAGATTTTAAAATCCCATAGATTAGTTTTAACAAAATAAAACATGTGACTTTTGGTGATTATTGTATAGATTCTATTGAAATCCAAATGCTTAAGGACTGAGACATTCCTTTTTACATTATCAACGTCGCACCTTAACACTATTTCCATAAAAGTTACCACTGCCAGCATTACGTCGCCATGGTCATGGGGCTATTCAACTTGATGTGATTAAAAAATAACTAGTGTCCCAGTTGCTCGAAATCGAGCAATTGCTGAGTATTACAGGCGTTATTTTAAAACGAATTTCAACCAAGTCAGCAAGTTTGCAGCAAACTGTTAAATTAGCAAACTTATTGACTGTTTACAATTAACATAAAAATGCTCTTCTTCTCACTTTTGATTTCTGACAACAGCTGGAGTTTCATAACAATTGTTGTTTCCAATGTTAATCTTATGGAGAAATACGAAACTTTAAAGGGCTCCATGGCCTCACTCTCTCATTATTTCCCTAAACAGAAAGTTTCCTGCACAACTTCACGTTACGCTCTTTCCAATGACACCAAAAACATGACAATCGGTTCAGTAGTTTCGGAGGAGTAATTGTCACAAAAAATCTGTTTGCTTATTAAATAAGTACGAGTAATGTCCAGTGGTCGAAACTCGACCAAAAATATGTAATGAAGGCCTACTCACTTATGTTAATGTTTCACCCCACACTGTAAATAAAACA